ACACGGCACCACGGCATGGCACCATGGCACGGCACCACGGCGTCGTAGCGCACCGCGCGGGCGCGGGCACGTCCATGGTCCTCAGCCCAACAGGGCGACGGGCCCATGAGAAACTCAACTCTGACCCTTACGAAAGGGGGAGGGGCCATGACGAAAAGGTGTTTTGGGCGAAGCAGAGTTTTCCATCAAAAACCATGCTGGGCCGACCAGGCCCATATGTCAGAATCAGCGTCGTAATGCTAGGCACAAACTTGAAAAAATACAACAACTTAAACAAGTGCCCTTTTGCACGCGCCACTGCTTCTGCCGATAAGGAGAGTTGGGGGGGGGCACGATAGCTTGCTCGGCGCGGCGCCGAGTTGTCAAACCCTTCACGTGCCGCGGACTCGGCGCGGGCCAGCCTGCAAACGCAGCGCGTTTCACATGTGACGGACTCGGCGCGAACCCGGGGATGCCTTCGTGGGCGGCAGCCCCAGCAGCGTGCAGTAGCAACGGTAATTGGTGGGACAAAACATGTTGGCTCTTTCGGTTCGAGACGCAACCTCTAGTTCCAACTGGCCCAACAAAAGACACCCGCGCGCTTAAAGGCCGAGCTCGGGCTGCATGTGAAGAGGCACGGAGAAGGCTCAAACGCCCTTGGCTCGTACCGCCTACTGCAGGGCAGAGTGGGAAGGAGGATCAAGCGCCACTTGCACTGGCACCCCTGAGCGAAGGCCGCGTTGCGCGTAATCATACCTTCCAATGGCGGGCGCGCCAAGCTGCTAGTTCGACGCCGAAACTACTTAAAACCCGCGCGCGGCCATTTTCAAAACCACCATGAACCATTTTCAACTTCAGCACCGCACGGCCCGCAAGCGGCCTAGAACCATGAGAAAACCATTTTCATCATTCTTAATCTGATCCCCGACATGCCCGTGACCCTATCCACGGCCGGGCGCAGGACCCGGGACCCGGAACCGGAGCGAGCCCCGGAACCCGGGGCCATCCCAGGACCCGGGGCCTGGCACGACCGCGGACGCGGGGCCCGGGACGAGCGCGGAACCGGGAACCCGGGACCGGCACGAGACCCCGGACAAGGGCGGCACCCGGAACCCGGACCCGGGAGCGACGCGGGACACGGAACTCAAATTGGCGCGGGAAACGGGACTCGTCGGAACCCGGGACCAGCGCGGGATCCGGGACCGGGTCGCTGGGACCGGCGCGGCACCCGCCACCCGGGACCGGCGCGGGACCCGGAACCTGGTGGAACCGGCGCGGTGCCCGGGGCCCGGGACCCGGAACCGACGCAAGGGCAAGGAGACCGCTGCTAGCAAAACCATCTAAACCCAAGATAAAATGGCGGCCGGCGCCGCCTCGTTCGGCGGCGGAGATCCGCGATTCTATGCCGCCACGCTGGTTCCGGGCAGGCTGTGCTGCCCGGCGGAAGGGGACGAGGAGGGGAGAAGCAGGCAGACGACGACGAACGCCCAGGCGGGAGGCCAGGGCCGGCGGGGCGGGCGGGCAGGCAGAAGACGGGCCAGGCGGAGACAGCAGGCAGGGAGCAGGAGGAAAGGAAAGGGAGGGAAGCAACGAGCAGAAGCGAAGGGAGGGGGAGGAGGGGGAGGAGGACAAGGAGGAGAGAAAGCAGCGGCCGCAAGCAGACAGGCCGGGCCAGGGGCCGGGAGAGAAGAGCCGCCCGCGACGAGGCTGCGGACCCTACGGCGGCGACCTGGGCGGGGTGGCCGCCCGAACCCAGCGCGATGCGGCTTGGTGGGGATTGCCCTCTGCGGGATCCATCCACCGCCCCGCCGGGGAAAGGCCGGGCGGCGCGTGGGAGGGGTCGCCGGCGCGACGTTGGCGAAAGGGCGAGGGGGGCGCCCGCGCTGCCCAGCAAGGGCGGGGGGGGGGGGGCGGGGTGCGCTAGGCAGCGCAGGGGGCACCTCACACGGCGTCTGCCGTGGAGGCCGCCGCGGCCGCGGCCAGGCGGGCCGCTGCCACCCCCGCCCCTCCAGACAGGGTCTGAAGGCGCCGCAACACCGCCCGCGCGTTCTCCCCGTGCAGGGAGACGGAAAGTCGCCGGGCATGTTGGTCCGCAACCAGTGCGGCGTCTTCCCCCGTGGCGTCAGCCACCCGCTTGGCCAGGACCCCGAAGGCCCTGCGTGCCTCGCGGCCCCACCCGCCGCCGTGGGCTTCCACCACCATGGGGAGGAAAGTGAAGCCCTGTGCCGCGCAGAGCCGCGCGGTGTCCTGGTGCTGCCTTTTGAACTCCTCGTACCGCTCCGTCGCTGCGCTTGACGAAGCGGCCGACGCGGCGAGGAGATCGGCGCGCAACCCTGACGTGGCGGCAAAGTCCCAGGCGGCCGCCGTGCCGTTGCGCCACCGCGGCAGGTAGACGTCGGCAGGGCGGCGGCCGTTGTCGTCCACCTGGGGCCCGCCCTGCTCGCCCCCGGGGGTGGCCTCCCCGGCGGGGCGCGCGGGTAGCAGCCCCGGGCGCTCCAACTCCGCCCCGGCGTGGCCGGCGGCCAGGGCGTCGAAGAAGGCCTGGTTGCGCAGGGCGTTGTGGCGTTTGGTCCGGTCGCCGCGGCAGGCGCAGACCAGGGCGTGGTCGCAGAAAACGTCCATCACCTCGCCACAGGCTGGGCAGAAGCACTCCTCCTGCAGGAGCTGGACTCGCAGCCGCCTCTGCAGGCCGACCTGCATGAGGCCGTGCGGGAAGGCGGTGCCGGTGGCCTCGCAGGGCGGCGCCTGGAGCCACGCGGCCGCGCCTGGGGCTTGCACCAGAGAGAGGTGCGCCTTGCCGGCCAGGGTGGAGCCCGCCAGAAGTCCGTCGAGCGAGGCGCTGTCCACCGCGTCGGAGAGGGCCTTCTGGTTGCCGTGCTGCGCGCGGTCGAACACCACCCGGTCGGCGTCCCGCACGACTGCGTTGTGGGCCTGCACCGCAGCCGCCAGGCTACCTCCGTCGCGGTCGGGGTTGTTGGAGTAGCCGGTGTAGAGCTGCCGACAGAGGTCGGTGCTCTTCGCTCTGGAAGCGATGTAGGCGGCGGCGGCGTGCTTCGCGGCAGAGCGCAGGCCAAGTCCTCCCTTCCTGAGCTTAAGCTGAGCCTGCTGCCAAGAAGCATCGGAGGGCGAGCAGCCGCTCAGTTGCTCAAGGCAGGCCCGGACAGCGTCGTCCATGGCCAGCAGGGAGGCAGCGTGCGCGGTGGGCGGCACCACGCGCGCGGAGTAGCCCAGCTTGCAGAAGGAGGCGCACTGGCGCAGGAGGTGCAGCGCGACCTGCGCGTTTTCGAGCTCCCCCAGAGCTTCCAGCAAGTCGGTGGCGCTCGCGACCCGCTGCTTGGTGTGCTCCGCGCAGAAGTCCGCGTCTCCCACCCGAACCCGAACCGACGCGGGACCCCCGAACCCGGGACTGGCGCGAGACCCGGCGCCTGCGACCCGGGACCGGCAGGGAACCTCCGGGACACGGACCCCGGACCCCGGACCAGCGCGGGACCTGCGACCGCGCACCGGCGCGGGACCCCGGGCCCGGAACTGGCGCGGGACCCGGGACCTGGCACCCGAGACCGGCGCGGAACCTAGCATCCGGAACCCGCGACTGGCGCGGAACCCGAGACCCGGGAGCGGCGCGGGTTCCAGGACACGTAACCTTGGACCCAGGATCTGGGACCGGCGCGGCACCCGGAACCCCGAACCCAAGACGAGCGCTGGCCCCCGGACCCGCGACCCGGGACCGGCGCGGGACCGGAGACCCGGGACTGGCGCGGAACCCGGGACCGAGCACCGGAACCGTTCCGGGACCCGACCGGCGCGAGACCTGAGGACCCGCAACCAGGAACCAGAGACGGGACGGTCGGGAAAAGCGCGGGACCCTGGGCCGAGGATCCTGGACCTGGAACCAGCGGATCCAGGACCCGGGGCCAGAACCGGGGCGGGACCGGGAACGCGGGGACCTGGAATCAGCAACGAAACTGCCGGGATGAGCGCGGGACCCGGGATCCCCGGGACCCAGGACCCGGGACTAGAACGAGCGCGGGACCCGGGATTCGATACCCGGGACACAGCACCGGACGCGAGACCAGCGACCCGGACCGGCAGACCCGGGCCCCGGTGCAGGACAGGGAATGGGAGGGGAAAGGAGAGAGGGGAAAGGGGGATCGGAACAGGAGAGAAGGGAGAGGGAGAGGGGAGGGGACAGGAGAGAGGGGGGAAGGGGGACAGGAGAGAGGGTGGGGGAGGGGGGGGGAAAGGAGAGAGGGGTGGGGTCAGAAGAAAGGGGGAGGGGGGGCAGGAGAGATAAGAGGGGGTGGGGTGGGGGGCCAGGAGCATCACCATCTCCATCACCATCACCATCACCATCGTCACATCACATCATCATCATCATCATCATCATCATCATCATCATCATCATCATCATCATCATCATCATCATCATCATCATCATCATCATCATCATCATCATCACCACCATCATCATCATTATAATCATCATTATCATCATCATCATCATCAGCATCATCAGCATCCTGATCATCATCAGCAGCATCCGCATCCGCATCAGCATCAGCATCAGCATCAGCATCAGCATCAACATCAGCATCATCAACATCGTCATCATCATCATCATCATCATCATCGTCATCGTCATCATCATCATCATCATCATCATCATCATCATCATCATCATCATCATCATCATCATCATCATCATCATCATCTTCATCATCCAGAGCGCCCCAGATCGGCGGCACTGGCCGGAGGCCACTACAATCAACTCTTTTCTTGGGGCATGGTGTTGGGTCTCGCGGACCAGATGCGTCTGGCTGCCCGCGCGGACGCGGGCACGACACAGGCTTCGGCATCGCGGCACAATGTGGTGGGCAACGCGGCGACACAAGATGGGATACGTGCGCCACGATGGAGAGAAGGAGTGGAGCGAGAAAGCCTTCCAACGCCACGCTGCCCCGTGAGAGCATGACCAGCCCTCCCCCTCCCGCCAGGCGGCCCCGGCCCGGGCGGCGGCTGGCCTCTGGGGGACAGCTGGTCCGCAGAGAGCGCGCCAGGCTCGCCCTTCGACGGCCGCTGCTGTGCCTGGGCGGCCGCCAGCATCAGCGGCATCTCCTTCGGGCGATGCTTCAAGAGGGGGGCGACGATTTAGGCGCCCCCTTTGGACCCACAAGAGGTGCACCTTCCTTCGCTTCCCAGTCTGGCGGCGCGCACACGGGAGTAGGGGGAGAGGGGGGAAGGCTTCTCAGCAGGAGGCTGCTTCTTTGAAGGTTCGGGCTGAGAAGGCCCGCGCTTTTTAAGGAGCAGGGGGGTGCAGGGGTGCTTCCAGGAAGCCTTCCCCCCCTCCCCCTACTCCCCCTCTGCGCGTGCCCCCCCCCCTGCCCCCGCCCACCGTGGATCGCCCCCCCCGTCCCCCTCCCATGGCGCAGCGCCCGATCCTCCAGCCTAGTCAGCATGCCGGGCAGGCGCAGGGTGTAGTGCGGTGAGGGTCTGGGCGCGGGCCACGCCTGAAGAGGATGGCCGATGCCGCTGCTCCCCAGTTGAGCAAGGAGCATTCCCTGACTCCTACCGCGAAAAGCCCTGAGCACAAAATAATGTCGTAAAAAACAAGAGCTATGCTCCTAACCTGAGGAAGCCAGTAAAGAACCTCTCGGGGGCGGCTTTAGCGGAGCGATATCCTGAGCACCGCACCGAAAGCAACTGATACATGATTATTGCCCCCCGACCGACATCTATCGTAAGGACTGGCGGTAAGAACGTAAGGGCCTCCTCCTCATCATCATCATCGCAACTTTCGAGGGTTGCTGGGGGCTCTAGATGAGTGCTAACCAACGGCCACGTGCCAGGGTGCCAGAGTAACCCTTTAAGGTGCTGGGTGCGTTATCGCTTCGCCAGAAAGGGGGGTTCTGAATGGCTCCATGAGGCTATAAAATGAGACCGGCATGCTCAAACAAGACAGTTGTATCCAGACGCTTTTTGAGAACATGTCGTGAAAGCCACAGGTAAGTTCTTAGAACACCCTTCGGTGGGCCTGTAGACAAGCCAGGGCGCTTCGACACTGCTTGACCCAGGGCCTCTCCCTCGGGGCGCGCTCCTGGCCCGCATCTCGGGTCGGGCGAGAAAAGGAGGTAGCCAACGGGGGGGAAGAATCCGCTCCCGCTGCTGATTTTTTCCCGGCGCCTCCCGGCGCCAGAGGCTGCCGTGTATCGAGGAATGGGTCCCTCGGTGAGGCCGACACCAGCTGCACGCAGCAGATCTCGTAACCCCCCCTTGCCCAATCCAGGAGGGAGGGGGAGGGGGAGGGGGAGGGGGAGGGGGGGGAGGGGGAGGGGACAGCCTATCTATGTTGACTGGTCTGTCACCTGCGCACACTCTGACAACCTCGAGCGCAGGTGGGCAAGATCCAACAATGACGGGCTGGCCGCGTCGCAGGCGGTGGGCGTCAAACGGAACCGCTACCCCCCCTCGGGCGGCGAGCTGGTCCCAGCTGTCCTGGAGACGGGAGGGCGGCCGGCGGATGAGCTCGTCTCATTTGTCCGCTCGTACGGAAAAGATTTGCCTGAAGCAGAGCGGTCAGCGGTCATCGCCACCGCGTGGCGCCGCAGCCAGCGCACGTTGGTTGTGGGCAACGCCGAGATGATTCTCAGTGCGTGCTAAATGACCCACCAGCACTACGACCACCACGGCCACCACGACCGCCACGACCACCACGACCACCACGACCACCACGACCACCACCAGCTGGGCCGCCTGGACCGCCACGGCCACGACCACCACGACCACCACGACCACCAATGACCACCACGATCACCGCGAGCATCACGGCCACCACCAGGCCGGCCGTCAGCACTAAAACCACGACCACTACGACCACCACGGCCACCACGACCACCACGACGACCAGCAGCTCGACCACTACCGGCTCGACCACCACGACCGCGGCTTCCGCGGCCACCTTGGCTGCCCGCCCGCCCACTGCGACGGCCCCCGCCCCCCGGCCCCTTCCCCTTCCCCTCCCGGCCGCCCCTGCTGCTCCCCTCCTCCTGCTCCCCCCACAGAGGGCGCGGGCAGCCTTCGGCCCGCGTCGCATCCCAGGGCCTGCCTCAAGACGAGGCTTGCCCGGGGCGCACTGGACTGTGGACGGTCCCCCTCTGGGCGGCCCCCAGAGAGCCAGTGGGGGCGCCATCCCCGCGACTGGCGAGGGAGGAGGAGGAGGAGGAGGAGGAGGAGGAGGAGGAGGAGGAGGAGGAGGAGCCCGAGTCAGAGCCCGGCCGTGGCGATCGGGCTCTCTGGGACGACCCGCGGCATCGCTGCCTCTCTCCCTCCTCGAGGCCTGCAGCAGCCCTCCCGCGTCCGCCTGCGGCGACGGCGCCTTTGGCGCCCACGCCGCCGCGGCCGCGCCGGCCTCCTCGGGCCTGCGGAGGGAGCAAAGAGGCTGCACGAGCACGGGCTCTCGGAGTGCCGCGAGGAGCTCCAGAGGTCTTGTCCGGGCAGTGCGGTCGCACGCCTTCCGCCAGTCCTCCCGCCTACTCTCTTCCTCCTCTTCTCTGCTGCCTCTTACCTGACCTGTGACCTCCATCCCTGGGGGGCTGCGAACTGCCAACTTGTCCCCACTTTCGAGGGCCGCTGGAGGGGCCAGCAAAGTGACGTCCTACGCGGACTCAGACTTGGCCTCGCCATCCCTGGAGGGCTGCCAACTGCCAAAGTGTCCCCACTTTCGAGGGCTGCTGGAGGGGCCAGCACAGTGACGTCCTACGCGGACGCAGACAAAACCTCGCAGCCCCTGGGGAGGGCGAATTGCGAAACTGTCGCTACTTTCGAGGGCTGTTGGGGGGGGCAGCACAGTGACGTCCTACGCGGACTCTGACAAGACCCTGCCATCCCTGAAGGGCTGCGAACTTTGAAACTGTCGCAACGTTCGCGGGCTGCTGGGGGGGGGAGGGGGGGCAGCACGGTAACGTTCTACGTGGACTCAGTCTTTATGTCGCCATCCCTGGAGGGCCGCGAACTGCGAAACCGTCGTCACCTTCGAGGGACCCTAGGAGGGTGAACGCAGTGACGTCCTACGCGGACTCAGATTCCACCTCGCCATCCCTCGGGGGTCCTGCGAGTTGCGACACTTGTTCGCCGCTTTCGAGGGCCGCTGGAGGGGCCAGCAAAGTGACGTCCTACGCGGACTCAGACTTGGCCTCACCATCCCTGGAGGGCTACCAACTGCCAAAGTGTCCCCACTTTCGAGGGCCGCTGGAGGGGCCAGCAAAGAAACGTCCTACGCGGACGCAGATCAGTCCTCGTCAGCTGCGAACTGCCAGCGTGTCCCCACTCTCGAGGGCCGCTGGAGGGGCCGGCGGGCCAGCGCACTGACGTCCTTCGCGGACTCAGACCTGGGCCTCGCCGCCCCTGGGGAGCTGTGACCTGCGAAGCCGTCGCCACTTTCGAGGGCCGCTGGAGGGGCCAGCGACGTCCTGTGCAGACTCGGATTCGACCTCGTCGCCCACTTGGGGCTGCGAACTGCGAAACTGTCCTCACTTCCGAGGGCTCCCGGATGGGCCAGCGCAGTGACGCCACGTCGGAGACCCAAATTAGACCTCGCCATCGCTGGAGGAACTGCGAACTGCAAACTGTCGCAACATTCGGAAGCTACTGGTTCCAGATTCGACCTCGCCATCCCTGGGGGCCTAGGGGGCTGCCAACGCGAAAGTGTCCCCACTTTCAAGGGCTGCCGGCGGGGCAGCACAGTGACGCCCGCCACGGACTCAGATTAGACCTCGCCATCCCTGGGGGGCTGGCGCACTGGGCCTCGCTCGTTTCTTGCACTGGCTATGAACAGCTCATCCTTCAGGGCGCCAGAGCGACATCGCTGCTCATAAGCGAGCTACTCGAGAGAGTCGCCTCGCTCCTTCTCATCCCCCTCCCTCGCTGCAGTCCTGTTCCTCCTTCGCAGTCTCCCTGTTAACCTTTAAGCCCTTCCTTGCGTCCTTCTCTTGCCCCTCCTTCCCGCCCCATTCCCCTCCGAGCTTTGGGCCTCGCTCCTCGTCTTCATTATCCATCAGCCAACTACACTGGCCACTTGATTCAAATGGGTCGGGTACGTCGCAAGGTAACTTTTTTACTCGCGATGACGGCCGTTACCGGCCAACGCCCCCACGCGACCGGCCCCCCGTGTCAGGCCCGTGATCGCCGGCAGATGAAAGAAGTGTCCCTTTTCATTCAACTTCTTTTCGGCGACTTCGAAGGGTGTGGTTTGCAAAGGGTGCGGCTTGCAACTGGCACCCTGGGGACACCCGGGAGGGGCGGGCGGCGACCTCGATCGAACTCTTCGCCGCGCCTCGAGGAGACCCGACGAAGACCATGCCGTGCCCCCCAGGCCCAAGCCCTCGGCTCCCCCGTGGCTTCCTGCATGACTTCTCGGGCCCGAGAGGGCCCCAACAGGCCCCGCGAGGCTCCGAAGGCGGTCCAAGAGGGCCCCGAGTCGCCGAACGATCGTTCCAAGATCCTCAAGATGGCTCCCAGCGGCCCAGTAGGCCTTCAAGACGCCTCAATAGGCCTCCAAGAGGCCTCCCGAGAGGGCCCCAAGGTTCCCGAGGCGCCCCAAGAGGCCCCGAGATTAGCCTTAGGTTTCTGAAAGTCTTTGGCGTTCTCGCCTTCTCAGCTTCCCAACGCTCCCACACGGCCTTGGAGGCCCCCAAGATCGCCCCAAGAGGCCTCCAACAGGGCCCCAGAACGGCCCAAAAGGGCCCCAAGATGGCCCAAGAGGCGCCCAAGACAGCCCAAGAGGCCACAAGGACGGCTCCAAGATGGGGCCCAGATGGGGGACCCGAACGGACATGTCAAGTCCTCGGCACCGAGGAAACCCCAGGAGACCCCCAGAGGTCCCCAGAGGTCCCACGAGGCCCAAAGATGCTCCCAAAAGGCCCCAGAGCTGCCCCCAAGAAGCCCCCGTGAGCGCTCCGAAGGGACCCCAAGAAGCATCCCCAAGAACTCTGACCCACATCCCATGCACAGAAGCAGGATGGGCCGAAGGCCACTGGATACTTTCTCAGAAGGAGATTTTGTTTTTAAAAAAGCATACGCGTAAACTGTTGGCGCTCCGCGCGGAACTCTTGGATCTGCGCTGCACCCCCTCATTGGCGCGCGGAACGCGCCAGGGGCGGCGCTAAAGGCGCCGCCACAGGGGGCCCAGCGCGGATCCAAGAAATCCGCACGGAGCGCCAAAACTTTACATGTATGGCGTTTTTCGTGTTCGATCTCTGTGGGCTCGACAAACGACCAAGTTTGGGGTGCATCAGTTCTGTAGTCGAGTTCCTGCTCGATTTGCAGTCGCCGCTCTCCCTCCTCCTCCTCCTCCTCCTCCTCCTCCTCCTCCTCCTCCTCCTTTTCCTCCTCGTTCCTTTGCCTCTTCCTCCTCCTCCTCCGTGTCCTCCTCCTCCTCCTCCTCCTCCTCCTCCTCATTTTCCTCTTTTTCGTCCTTTTCTTCCTCCGCCTCCTCTTCCTCTTCGTTCTCCTCCTCCTCCGCCTCCTCCTCCTTCTGCTTCTCCTCCTCCTCCGTGCGAGGCCTTGGCCCTGGCCTCCAGCCCCTGGCGGTGGCCGCCGTGGCCGCGGGCGACCACTGCAAGAGGGGCCGCCCGCCGGGCCGCTGGGGCGGCGCCCCGAACCCCCCGCGTGCGGTTGCCCTCGCCGACAGGCATCCAGCGGCGAGCTCCCCGCGGCGCCGGCTCCTCCCCAGACGGAGGTCTTCGCTGTTTCAGCCCCTGCTTAGAGATTCTGCGTCGCTGTAGGAGAAGCAGGCTTGCTAAAGCCTTGTAGGTTCGCCTATATGTCTCATGATCCAACATCGACTCACAGCTTAAGCCTACTATGCGGCATTTGCTTATGACTAGATATAGGCCCACATGGTGCACTGTATGGTATGATCCCACGTACCATGAGTTCACGTAGGTGACGCGCGTGTCTGATTCATATCGATCGATGTAGGTATGTATGTGCATATATGTATATGTATGCTAAGACCTCGATCGTTATCACATATATATATATGTATATATATATAAATATATATAAGTGGCCTTGTTGCCCATCTTCCCACCCCCAGCGGCAGGTCGACCGCGTGTTTCTACCGCTCAGTGACCAGTACGTGTGAATCACATCCAAAGTTCCACATCGCATCGTGCCTGATCAAGGCACCGCCGCACAAAAAAAACAACAACTGTGGGCCGACGTTTTCTGGCAAGACACCACCTCGCCGTGCTGGTTTCCCGTGCGCCATCGACGGGACAGGTGACAAGAAGCGAGTACCGCCCGTCAGCGGCGCAGCACTCTGCCACTATGAACGCCGTGGCGTTTGTGTCATTGAACCAAAGGTTGGCACATACAAAGACCAAAACTATTCGTGCCAAGCGCGAAACAATGCACTGCGCTCAAACCTGTCTTTGAATTCGATGTGCTCCGCGGCACGCTTGACAGAACCGCCTTCGCTCTCCTGCGTGAGGCAATTGAATAAATGCGACCATTGTTCCTGGCATTATCGGCGACGTGCAATTATTGATGGCACTTCGGCCTGGGTTTATCAGACCCACGCGCAGCTTGAAGACCGATCGTGCATTTGCCAGCAGCTCGATCAATCTCGACAGGACCGGCCCTGCCATTGACAAGTGCCTTGCGCTGCACCGTCAAAATAAGCAGATCGTGAACAGCGCGAAACGGAGACGCCTGCAGATTCAGGGATGGGTCTCGCGCAAGAGTGATGTCAACATAATGCCGAAGCGAGGGCACGGCGCTCGACATCTCACCCGCTTGGCACTTGCATGCGCCATCACCATCGCAAGGCACTCCCTGATGGTACGCATCGAACGGACAAGAAACATCGACGACCGAGAACTGCTTCGGGATTTTCGATCTGGCCGCCAAGACGGCGCGCACATTCGCATAAGAGCGGGCGAGGCTGCAATGCTAGAAAATATTGCACACCTCAAAAATAACAGCGCCATTCGAGACCAACATATGCGCGGGGTCACATTTCGCCTGGTCGGCAGGGCACACGCACAGACGAAAGGCGGCGTTGCCCAGCGCGCCTGTCTCCGCGCAGTGCACTCCAGCCGACGTTCCCATGATTGTAGATCGCAGTCTTGCCAGTCGTAGGTTTGGCCGCCGTAACCATGTCGAATTTCTTCAGCGCGCGGTCGTTCGCTGCCTGAATAAAGCGCGCGGTCGTTGACTAGGATGCCGGATGGGCCCCGCGCAGCGATCTGCGACGAACGCGACGCAACATTCAGACAAGCCACGCTACGTGGCGCATTCGAGCTGCATCCAAGCGGGCCCCAAGTGCACTGCAGCGCTGGCGAGTCACGGGTGGTGGCGTGCATCCCGAAGAATAGCGCCCTCGGTGCGCGGGCTGGCAATTGCAAAGCGATGCCAGCATTGCGGGTGCTCAGACCTCAAAAACATCCGTTCCAACAGCTTCGCAGCAATCGTCGGCCAACCGCCTGCCACATCCCTTCCAACTGGGAAATGAAGGAACCGTGTCGGGATTTACGCCACCCCGTGAAACCGTCGAGCGCAAGGCAGTTGGAGGAATTGGAGTAATGCGGCTGCGTCTTCCTAACGCCACTGATTTTTCATGGCGGCACCTGGGACCAGTTCGTCGCAACGCAATATCAAATGCCAAGGGTCGTCGCAGCCGCTGCCCCGCTGCTCCAGGGCTTGCAGCGCGAACGGAACAGATGCCTTCGATTGCAAATATTGCGCGGTGACCTTATCGCAGCGCGCAACCGCAACCTCCCGCGCGCATGCGCCTGGGGTGTTCCATTTTTGCGCCATGCGTCGACAATTCAATCTTCTGTCTCAGCGGGCCATGTTCTCCTTCCGGCGCCCTCTCAATCGAACCAAGGTCGAGGGCGTCCGCGGCTCCGTCGGGGTCGGCGGCCAATCGCTTCGCGGCGCAACGAAGTGCCTTGCGCGGGGTGCCGCTCTCGAGCGCAACTAAGACTTGTCTCTTCTTGGCCCGGCGCAACGTCGGGCGACCCACCGAAATCTCACCTTGGATGTGGGATTGCAAAACCGGTATTTGCGTCAGTCGACGCCGCGAATGGGCGCGCCCCCCCGCGCGGAGGCCCTCAAGAGTTAGCGCGCCAAGCACGCCTCGCCCATCGCCCGAGCCGCGCGCGACCCCGCGGGCCAGCGCCAGTCCACATTCGGGAACATGAAGGAGGCAGCTCTACATCGGCCCTGGCATGCGCTTGACAATGTTAAGCTGAAACGCCAAGAACTGAGCGGCTTCGACCCGCCGCGAAACTTTCGAGGTGGGCGTCTCCGCGAAGTCAGCGCCCCTAGCAGCAGGCGACTCGCTCGCGGGGTTATCCGTTGCCTATTCGCCAGCATTTTGATGTCATCGCAGGCCCCGCGGAAACCATCGCGGTGCTCAGGACTTCATTGGGAAGCGGATCCGCGAGGTCACGATCCAACGACACTTGCGCTGCGTTAATTTTCTGAATCGCTTCTTCAGAGCAGGAGCGGTTGATTATTGTGGCATTGTCTCTGGCGCTCGTCTCGACTTCCTCAGCTCTGATGCGCCCCATCCCTTTAATGTTGCAATTGCGTCGCCGCCTTCTTCCGCGCTTGGCCGTCTTCTTGGCGCTCGAGCTCGACGATCTCGAATGAGATTGTTATTGCTAGCATTGTCCTTCTTGCCGTTCTCCTCAGCGCCCCCCTCCTCCTCCTCGGTGTCCTTGCCTGCGTTCGGGTCAATGCCCGCGGGGGTCGAGACCGCGCTGCCTCCAGTCGCCAGGAGAAGTGGCCGAGCTACAGCCCTTGGCCTTGGCCACGTCGGCTCTCTCCCGTAATTGCGCGCGCGGAGTCTCGATGATCCCGCCCTTGCCCTGGCTCTGCGCGGCGACTTTGCAAGGTCCAGCCAAGCTGGTCGCGCCGTTCTTCCATGCTGCTCAAGGTGCTTTATCGTCAAAAAATAAGTGCCAACTCCACATCGCATCCTGGCTTCTCCCAGTGCGCCAAGGGCTGGGGGGGCCCTGGTCAATGACGGACTTGGCGATGCTCTCCACGGCGAGCTTCTCGAGCGCAGCGTCGGAGTCGTTCTCTGCAGGGGCACTCCAAAAGGCCTGGTGTTCGGCCGCCGGGGGGCTCTAAAACTCCGAGCAGGGCCGGCTGCCGCGCGCGCGGATCAACTTCGCGCCCCCTGCCCCGCGCGAGAAGCACATCCACTTGGTCTTCGCCTTCGGGGTGGCCGTCAGCGGGTTTACCACCTCGCTGTAGCGCGCGCGCCTGGCGCCCTTCACCAGCCCCACTGCGACGTCGGCGAAGTCTGCTGTTGGCTCGGTCTTGGGCCCGGCAATCGGCGCCGGGGGCCTTGCGCCGGTCGGATGCCCGCCTCCATGCAAGAAGCCCTCCAGATGCGACTCGAGCTCCTCCGCGGCCTGCTCCGCCTTGATACCGCTTGCCACGCTGCCATATCCTCACTCAGGCTCGGCAGTTGGCGGCGCCTCATCTCCTGGCTCACGAGTCTTGCCCACGAACTCGATGGGCGCCGCTCGGGCCTCCATCTTCAGCTTGTTGGCTGCCGCCTATGCTGCGTCAGCTCTCGCCCTGTTCTGCGCCGCTTCCCGTGCGACGGCGGCTGCGACTGCCTCCCGCTTCTTCTGCCGCGCCGCCGCGAACCCCCCCTCGCCGCCGCAAGGCGCCGCGGCTGCCCACTTCGCGCGCGCGACGCGGAAAGCCGATCCTGTTCGCGGCGTTGCAGAGCCAGATAAATTTGCCGCGGGCTGTCTGGCCTTCGTGGTTCCCTATACAGCGGTTGGGGGACCGCTTGGAGTCGGGCGATATCGATTCGCAATGTTGGCAATGCGAGCGTTTGGAGGGCCGCTTGGGACCAAATGAGCGGGGGGGCCTCCAAGCAGAAGGAAGGAGGGACGATGGGGGAGGGAGGGCAGGGGGCCACGGGGGCAATCGCATGTCCTGGGCCGCGGGCGGGGGGAGGCCGGAGGAGAAACGCGAACAACGCGCACTCTGGTTTCTACCCCGAAGACGTGTCCTTCTCGGTCGTCGCGCCAGAACTGCGCGGTGCGATTCGACAAGGTTCGATAGAATTCGATGCATCACGAGACAGGGTCGATACATGGTCGACGCAGGGTCGACACAGGTGTCGATGCACTTCGATGCAGGTCTCGATGCGCCCCCGACACACGCCGATGCGTGCTTCCGCGCGCGTCGGCGTGCATCGACGGTGTGTCGGTGGTATGTCGGTGGCGTATCCGTCGCGTATCGGATGCGCATCGAATGCGTATCGGCGGCGTGCCAAGAACCCTGTATCCGACGCGTATATATAGATGCAGATGGATAGAGACCATGGCGATGATGGAGATGATGTTTTTTTGCTCGTTCAACCGCTTGCGATTCCAGAGCAAGCGGCCCACTGGACGTTGAAAGCCCCTCGCTGGCCCGCCCCGACGAGGCGCCGCGCAATTTAGACGCCGAAATGGGCGGGCACCCGAGCCCCTATGTCAACTGCGCTCTGACCCAGAACCTGGGCTTCCGAAGCAAAGGGTCGCGCTGCTTGCGCGTAAATGCGCTGGGCAGACTTAGCCGCGGCGCTCGGCCGCGTCGCTGCGTCGACCACGGCGATGACGCCGCTGTCGTCGCCGCAGGACAGTCTGGCAAGAAGCTGCGTCGAGGGGGCCCGGGGTGGGTCCGACGGCTGCGCCGTCGCCAT